CTATGTCATAATTTTGAATCAAATATTATTTTTATTATTAAAAAGGTTTAAAAATGCAACATATTTTTATTTTATTCTTTTTTAAATTCATACGATATAGTATAATTTATTTTTTTATTTAAAGTAACATATTATTATACCAATTAGCACTAAAATATGCAGTTAGCCCTTGAGAGTTTAGTTTAGCAAGAGTGTTTTGTATTGCTAATAGAAGAATTTGTTAATGTATTGTATGTTTATATTAAAAATTATTTGACTATTTGGATTATAAAAATTTATTGAGTTAACTGATTATCTTTGTATAAATTGTTTTGTATTAACTTATCATGTTATTATAGTTTTATATCGTTAATAAGTTAAATTTTAGTATTTCAGTTGTTATGTTAATTTAGAAAAAAAAAATTATCATCATTTTATACCACTAATAAATTAACTTACATATTTGGATAAAAATTTCGATTTATTACATTTTCATATAAATATTTTTTTTAAAATTATATTTCGATACACTAAATAGATATTTCTTAAAATTTCTTTTAAAGAAGCAAATCCCAAACCCCTAAATCTATGAACACATTTGTGCGATGCATTGGGTTGTTGTACTATCTAAAACCCCGGCCTTATAGATTTTTTCATCTTCCTTGTTTACAGATGAGCTAAATTCTGCTCTCAAGTCTCAACAATGGAATCCTTAAGCTTAAGGTTGCCACCACGTCCACCCATCCCTTCTCAACAACCAGACACCGAACTCATCAAGCGCAATCTCCTCAAAAATGGCGTCACTCCAACCCCCAAAATCATCCACACCCTCCGGAAGAAACAGCTGCAAAAATCCAACCGCAGCCGTCCTCCTCCGCCCGACCAAACCCCAGAACAAGAACAAGAACAACAAGAAGTAGCCAATTTTCAGACCCTAAAGGCCGAATTCAAAACCTTCAACAGGGAAATCGTTAAAGCCACAAAAAGTAAACAAGACACGGACATAAAACATGGTGGAGTGTCGTCGTCGCTGGTGGGGAAGCCATGGGAGAGGTTGGAGAGAACTCAATTGATGGAGTGTGCGATTACTAACAAGGAGTTTGTTGGTGGGGAGAATCTGAAGTACGAGCATTTAGATGAATTGAGCGAGTTTATCGAGAAGGAGCGTGATAAATTCAAATGGATTATGGAAGATGACATCGAATTGGAAGATGGAATGCTTCAGAATAAGAACGACAATTGGGTTCCACCCAAAAGGAAAGTTTCAGATGGTGAAGCTATTCGGTTTCTTGTCGATAGGTATCCATCCATCCATGAGGCTTTACATTTTTCTTACAATCGATAGCAAAACAGTAAAATTGGGGCTTTTTTTTGTTCGTTTTGTAGGCTTAGTGGAACAGAACCGAGTATGAAGAACTGGAAATTTTCTAAGATGATGAAACAATCGGAATTACAGTTCACAGAAGATCAATTGTTGAAGATTGTAGGTGGACTTGGTGATAAAGGTCAATGGAAGCATGCTTTATCTGTTGTAAAATACGTATACAACTCTAAAGAGCATAAACATTTCAAGAGCAGGTTAATTTTTCTTCCAATTTAGTAATAATCTTTCTATAGTTTCTTCCCCATTTGAGCAATAAACATTCCATTATTCCATATATGAACAATTCTGTTTCCTAATCTATAGGTTCGTATACACAAAACTCTTATCAGTTTTGGGAAAAGCAAGAAGACCCCATGAAGCCCTTCAAATCTTTAATTTCATGCTAGTAATGATCAAAATCACATCTTTTCTTTTTACTATACACCAAATTTTTAATTTTCTTCTTCTTCTTCTTATGAAATGAAACAATCAATGTAGGCTGATTACCACTTATATCCTGATATGGCTGCATATCATTGTATTGCAATTGCACTTGGTCAATCTGGTCTTCTTAAAGAATTGGTCAACGTGATTGACTCATTGAAGCAAAATCCTTCAAAGATTATCAAGAAAACAAAACGCAAAAACTGGGATCCTGTTCTTCAACCGGATTTAGTTGTATACAATGCTGTAAGTTAGATTTCCAAAAGATTTATCATTTAGCTTCATGGGGTTTTGTTATTTATTTCAAAATAATTTTAAATTTTTTTTTTTGTTAGGTGTTAAATGCTTGTACTTTATCTGGTGAATGGAAGGGAGTTTCATGGGTGTTTGAGGAGTTGAGAAAGAGTAGCTTAAAACCATCTGGAGCAACTTATGGACTTGCAATGGAGGTATACTTACAAGGGCAAATTTGTAAAAAGCCTCATTTCCCACACTTTTGTATATAGATTAAGTAAAAAAGAAGCAATACCTAATTACAATTAAAAAAAAATATAGGTGATGTTGGCATCTGGGAAATATGACCTTGTGCATGAGTACTTTGAGAAGATGAAGAAAAGTGGAAATGCTCCAAAAGCCCTTACTTATAAAGGTACTGATTTTCCTTTCAAATGTATCATGATTTCACATATATTTGATGTAACAAATAGTGAAAAAGTAATTTCAATATCTTTGAGAGTATGTTATTGAAGTGTACAATGAATTTAAACACTTTTTTTTATTGTGCAAATGGTTTAGTGCTTGTGAAGGCGTTTTCAAAAGAAGGAAAAGTGAATGAAGCCATAGAAGCAGTTAGAGATATGGAACAAAAAGGTGTTGTTGGAGAAGCATCCGTATATTGTGAGTTAGCATTCTCCCTTTGCTATAATGGATTGTGGCAAGAAGCTATTTTAGAGGTACTTCTTAACCTTGACTTAGTTGACTCAATGAGATTTAATGAGTTAAGCACTTAATTTGGATAGTTATATATGGTTGTTTCTTTTTTACTTAATCTTGACATAATGAGATTGTGAATTTATTAGTTTTGAAAAGTAAGGACAAAATGGTCATATAGTCTCATCTAGATGGTTTGAAAGTTGAAACAACCACTTAATCTTTTTGGCTTAATGTAGAAAGAACAACTTAATAAAGAAAGTCAAGAAAATGAGATTCTCCCATAAAGTCCAAGCTTTTTACAAATTCACCCTCATCTATCATTTTTATTCTTGTAGATCAAGAGAATGAAAAGACTTCGACTCACTAGACCATTGGTGGTTACCTTCACGGGGATGATATTGTCTTCAATGGATGGAGGGCATATTGGTAATTGTATAAGGATATTTGAAACAAGTAAAGAGCATTGTGCACCCGATATTGGGATTATAAACGCGATGTTGAAAGTTTATGGGAGAAATGATATGTTTTTTGAAGCAAAAGAATTATTTGAAGATACAAAACGATCCAACGGTCATAATATAAGCTTAGGGCGTGATGGTCCTTTTGTTAGCCCGGATGCGTATACGTATGGTGAGATGCTTAGAGTCTCTGCAAGTGCTCATCAATGGGAGTATTTTGATTATATTTATAAAGAAATGGTTTTTTCGGGGTATCAAATTGATCAAAATAAACACGCGTTTTTGCTTGTTGAAGCCTCTAGGGCCGGAAAGGTACGTTTTATTATTATTATTATTAGTAAGGTTGACTTATGTGGTCAACCTTACTTATAGCAATATGTAACATGAAACTCGTTAGCATTTTACAAGTTTCAGGTTACCTATTGCATTTGTAATTTTTATTTTGATTATATCAGTAAGGTTGATTTTTGTTGTCAACCTTACTAATAGCAATATGTAACGTGAAACTCGTAAGCGTTTTACAAGTTTTAGGTTACATATTGCATGTTACAAAAGTAACATAATGTTAGGATTTCTCGTGGGAAATCCATATTTTACCAAAATAATAATAATAACAAAATATTTATCTTTATTTTACAGACTCATTTACTAGAGCATGCTTTTGATGTGATGTTGGAATCGGGAGAAATCCCACCATCATCATTTTTTGTTGAAATCATATGTCGATCCATGATCCAAGATGACTTTGACCGGGCGTTGACCATTCTCAACACCATGGCCCACGCCCCATTCCACGTGCGTGAAAAGGAATGGCGGGGCCTATTTGAGGAGTACAAAGGTAAAATCACCCGGTCCCACTTACGAAAACTTTTCGAAAAAATCGGGACTCATGATATCACAATGGAAGCTTCCGCATATAAGTTATCAAGACTATTACAATCGCTCTGTGGGCCGAAGTCAAAGTCAAAGCCAAAGTCAAACGAAAGGGGTGAGATTGAACGTGAATTACCAGGGAAATTGGATAGTATAATGGAACATTTTGTGGATGAGTTGACTATTGATGAATCGGTTGACTGTTTTGGTGATGAAAAGTCAAAGTTGACCGATTATGATGAGGAGTTGGATGATGATGATGATGGGTATGATTCGGAAGGGTTTTTGGTGGGTGAATTAGGGGAAGGAGAAGTGGATGAATCGAAGAGAAGTAAGTTGCCTTCTGCAGATGGGATTTTGGAGAATTGGAAGGAAAGTATGATAAAAGATGGAGTTTTTTTGCCTTTTAAAATCGGGATGAAGTGATTTGCATACAAGTATGAAGATGAGAGTTTTAGTTTGTGTAAAAGTGTGTATGTATAATTTATAAATGCTTTTATATACGGCTGAAAATCAAGTTTTCAAACGCTTTAATTTATACGAATCTGTGTATGAATAATAACTAGTCACATTTTTACAAATGCGTGAAAGAATCTTCAAATTCACTTGAAAAACCCTGGCAATGACTTTTTTTTGAAAATAACCCAATTGTTTATTTTAGAGTTTTCATTATAAGATAACAAGATGATTAAAATCATCGTCTTTTTTTTCAACACAATTGCTCTTTTGAATTTGGAAATTTTCTTTTCAACATATTGTCCCTTTATGGAATGGGTGATGATAATATATAAGATTCAAAGAAAAATCAACACACTCCTTGGAGAAAAAAAAAAAAAAAAAGTAAGAACACAAAATTTTATAAACCAAAGTACAAATTACATATCTTGATACTACTTCCATGTATCATAAGAAAATATATATAAAAAAAAAAAAAAATCTCACATCTTGAATTAATCATCAGAATCAAAATTATCATCATCTTTCATGTACTTCTCTTGCACTGCTGCTGTTGTGAAATTACTGTTAAGGACACCATTGAAATAGCCATGTAGTTTTAAAAAAAAATCTACTCAATTATAGAAATTATTATACACAAATATATTAAAAAAAACAAATGAAATTTATTAAAAGGATATCTATAGTATTCCCAATCTGTTGGAGCAATAGCAATTTTGCTGAATTCAACTGCAGTAGCATCAATCCCTTGAAATATATAACCATTTGTTTTGTCTATTAATTTCACAAGATTTGTAACACTTTCTTTATCCTGAAAATATCAAAACTAAATAAATAAAATACATTTATTAAATAAATTTTTTGGGGGAGAAATCAAGTAATCAACATACCTGAATAGCCAAAGTAGTGAAATTGACCAATCCAAAGTCTTCAATCACTTCACACAGTTCCTTTGTAAGTTTTCTAACACCATAAATAATGATTCATTAGAATTAGAAAATTCGTGTTGCTGAGTTGGCGCTGACGTGGCCTACCTATACTTAGAAGAGCGGGGATCTTGATCCAGATGATGTTGTAAATAAGATAAATCTTGAACATCCATGTAAAAATCAAGATTGAAGGCTACATAACAAACAAAGCAATAATTTTTTTTTAATGGTTTAATCACTACAAAAATATAATGACCAAAACGCCCCCACAACCGACATGATGAAGGATTGAAAAGCACAAGCGTCCCAGTCGATTCAGGGGCAATATTGGTATAAAGTAATGAAAAAGATTTTGATACCTAGTTTTCCATAGTTCTCAATAAGATCAATCTTTGATAAAACATTGACATGTGGCAATTCCATATGCAACATTGTTGATAGTGAGAGAAGCAATGCACTCACGTATTTCCCAGGGTCACTACACAGGTGTGCATCTATTAAGTGGACAGCTGTCAACTGTAGAAGAGATTAAAAAGTCATCTAATAATGTTAAGGGAAATGTACAAATTACAAAAGAAACTTGAAAATGATATCATTAAATTACCCGAAGATCAAGTTTTTTGATAAGTTGCATGATGACATTTTTTGCATTTGAGTGAAGGAAGAATAGTTCTACTTGGCCAGGGAAATCAAAGAGAAAATAGTGATCTGTAAATAAATGTAAAGTTAAATCAAAGGAACAAAGTTAACATAAAAGCCTTCAATGAATACTAACCTTTCAGAAGTGGCTTCAATTTAGATTCCAACCAATCGATATTTTTCTCCAAGTAATCCATACAATAAACAAGACCTAGTTGAGAATAACAAAAAGATCACACATGGAAAATGAAAAGTTTAATTTTGACTTAATGGGCTTATTGGGGACATGACTTAATCAAGTAAACTACAAAAGATGTCTAACCTCCATTAGGACCAAGATTGTGCTCATTCATCACATCACTGAGTTTTATAAGATCTTCAATGTTGATTGCACAATCATATCTTGATATAAATGTTAAAGAAATATGAATTCCCAAATCCCAATTGCCAAAAACAATAGAATAGCGATCTAAGCTTATAGAGGATACGGCAATGAATCATTTGCAGGGTCTAAGTTAATAATAGCGACTTTCCTGCAACAAGTATAAGTGTCATCAACATGATATATATTCAGAATCCAGGCTCGAAATTGAAAAACAGCTGCACATTGATTTTTAGGGAAGTGAGAAGTAACAAGGATGAATTTAAGATGAATACAGATATTACCTCCCGATGAGTTGAAGGTACTGCGACATGCCATTGCAGTAAGTGGTCTTGCCGGAGCCCGGAGGACCGATAACCACCTGACCGAACACCATCTTTTAGCCCTTCCGCACAACCCTAAATTTTAAGAATAGTGTGAGAAAAACGAAGATTCTTAGGGAAAATGCAAGGAAATTCTTTGGAGAAAATCTAGGGTATGTGTATGGCTACGCCAAGCAAAAGTAAATAAACAGTAGGGTGGTCGCCGGCGATAAGGCCTCTGAAAGAACAGTCGTCGAGAAGTCGTAGCTCGTAAAGCAGGCAAGCAGAGGCTGTTTTGTTCTGCTTCTCCAGCCGTGATACTAGAAAGTTCCTTTCCATACAACCCGACCCGACCCGACCCGACCCGATGCCCATACAAATTCATATTCATTTTGTTTAACTTTATGTTTTACGATTAATTTTTTGGGTCAATGAAACCTACCCGTTTGGATTTGCTTAATAAACATTGTTGTTCATTGTTTATTTGTACTGGAAATAAATAATAAATAATAAATAATAAGAAGATGATTATTAAAATTAATTTATTTAGTTTATTTCTAACGTTGATTTTTAAGGATTTTATTTAAATACTTAAATTTAACTTATTATAGTGGAAATAAACTATAAGCAATAGTCACTCTTTTCTTTTTTCTATCCAAAGATTCTCTTACCTTTTGATTATTTGGTTTTGGTTTAAATGGTAATTAATTTTTTTATTTTATGAAGAGATAATGTGGGTTATGAACCCCTTATTTGTTCCATACGACGTAAAATAACTTTTTTACAATGTCATATAATTAGTAATATTAATATAAATATTATGGTTGATGTAACATCATTAGACAACTTATATTTTACTTTAAAATATAACATAATTTGGTTCTCATAATTCCTGAAAATTAGACGATTCTTAAATTGGTTGAGTTGATTGGTTGTTTTCATTTAATTAATATATACACATTCCTACTAAAAGCATCCAAGATATGAGTTTTTATAGAACCTTATCGCGTCAAATAAGCTATTGTAACTCAAAAGAAGTTATCGTGTTTAATCCAAAGTTTTTTTTTTAAATAGTTGTAAATTTACTAACACTTAGGATAGAAAGTGTTGCGAAAGATGGCCCGAAAGGTGGTTTTGGTACCCAGTTACCTACAAGATCACCATCCATTTACGTGAAAGATGTCAAAAGATGAGGGTTAGGAAAGATGGTGATCTTCTTGAGCACACCATCCTCTTTCTTTCTCAAGTTGCAATAGACTTCACTAGTTGTATATTGGGAGTAGATTGGAAAAGTAGGATTCATTGTAGAGATGATCATGGTATTGGACCAACCGATACCGACCCAAGAATATCGGGTATCAAAAATGGGTGAAAATGATATTGAATACCGAACAGAACTGAAGTTAATGGTATTGGTACCCGATACAGTATTGGTTTTTGGTAGTAGCACTAATATCCACCGTACAAAATCGTAAATTTTGTGATTTTCAAGCATTGAACATCGTCTCATATTAACATAAACAACATTGATTCGGTATTCTAGCTCGGAGCTTTTTGTTCACCATAATTCATTTTGTTTGAGGATTATAAAAATGAAAGTTAAAAAAGAAAAAAAAAACAAGAAGCTTCTGTAGCTCCTAGATGGCCCTAGATTGGAAGGGTTGGAAAAAATAGTTTCATCCACCCTTATATTGAACTTATTGATTGATTACGTGGTCCTATAGATTTTCTAACAAATTTGAAATGAATAATTTGTATAAAATTTGATCAAATAATATAAATAGAACTGATGGTTTTCATAGATAAGTTGATGAAAACGTTACGGAAGTTAAGTTGTGAGATCAAATACCTATCGAATTGACAAAATCACCACCTTCTAAACAAAAATTGTTCCAATTAAAGCTATACACCACATCTCACAATAACTGAAAGTAGAGGGACTCAAAGCGCAAACAAGTCTAAAATGTGAGATCAAATACCTATCGAAATGACAAAATCACCCTCTTCTCGTCTTAACTCACTCCACCAGACACAACTATGGAACCCTAAACCCCCAAATCTGAAACCCCAGCCAAAATGATTGCCAGAACTGCTCCTAAATCGCTAACCAGATTCTTCTCGCTTTCACGCCACCTTTGCACGGCCACCGGAACTCAATCACAGAAGCTCGAAAGAATCGCCGACGAGATCCTCAGCCTTACAAAACTCGAGAGGAATGATTACGCAGTCCTCCTACGTTACAAGATGGGTTTCAATAACTACGGCCCGGCGGTGACCGGCATTGGTTCACCATCATCCGCCGGCGCTGCCTCTGCCGGACCAGGATCCGATGCCAAAGCCGCCGAGAAGGTTGTTTTTGATGTGAAGTTAGAGAAATATGATGCAGCTTCGAAGATCAAAATCATTAAGGAAGTTAGATCTTTTACTGATTTAGGATTGAAAGAAGCGAAAGATTTGGTGGAGAAAGTACCAGTGGTGGTGAAGAAAGGAATCACCAAGGACGATGCTGAATCAATCATGGCGAAGCTCAAGGATTTGGGTGCTATTGTGGTATTGGAATAAACTTGATCTCTTTTTAGTTCTTCATTATCATTTTTGAATAACTCTTGAAGCTCTTTTGAGTAGTTGCAAACGATTTTTCTAATTCGATTGCTGATTTCCTCAGTTTTCAATGTGTTTTAGATCAAAGTATTATATAGCCACACATTTTAGAATGAAAATTCCATTGTAATTCATTGGGAGAAATGTTGCACTTGATTTTCGTTGTTAGTTTCAACTTTCATATTCGGTTGCCTAAGAGATGTTCATTGAGGTAAACATGCTCATAAAATGTTCATTGAGGTAAACATGTACCCAATTTGTATAACTTTTTACTTATCATATACACTTTCATAATAACAAACAATTATATTACAATGCTTTTTAAAACAAATATACATATATCTTATATATAAAATTGTTAGAGTAGGTCAAAGATAATGCGAGAAATTTGTATAGAGTGTCATGTTGGGGGATGGGGTCATTGAGAGATTCAAGTAGAAACTCTAATTCGAAAGTAAAAATGTGAGTACACCTTTGTTGAAATCTGTTTTGGGTTGCTTGAGCAATTTTATAGGTCAAAATTTTAAAGTCTAGGAAGAATTAGTGCAAAAGTTTGAGGTCTCCTTTCTTTTGGGGAGTTGAAGGTCGATATGAAATTCTTTGGATTAAATGGAGTAGGGTGTTGACTTCTAAAGAGAAAGGTGGAACTTGCATTGGGAGTTTTTGATCGGGCTTTGTTACTTAAATGGAGGTGGCGGTTTGTTGTTGATTCGAGTTCCTTGTGGGCTATTATATGGTGTTGGAGGTGGGTTTGGGTCGAATGGTCATGAGGCAAATACGCATGGGGTTGGTTCATAATTGTTTGTTTGATAAATCAATTAGACGATAAAGGCATTGTGCCTCATAATGGTCTTGTTTAGTTCACTTGCTCATTTATGCCTCATATTAATTAAATAAGTGGGATTTGGATATAGATAGAGATGATATTTAAAACCAGAACTAATAGAACCAGAATATGTATAATTGGTTCGAGTTTAAAAAATGATTTTATCCGGGTTTGTGTCCTTCGGGTTTGGGTAAACCGAGGTTTAAGAACTAGAACCAGTGTTAGGAGCAAAAACCGGTTTTTGTGAAAAGTTTAAAACATGTATATCTCATTCATTTGAACTCAGATTGTAATGCGGTTTTTTCGAGTGTGTAGCATATGGTGAATTTGATGTGGAAAACTATTTTCATTTTTCAAGAAAATGTTTTTAAAAAATAGAATTGAGTTTTTATTTTCAGTTTTCAATGAAAATTTTACACTAAACTGCAAATTTGGTCCTCGTGGTTATCAAAAAAATGTGGATGCAATCCAAAAAGTTTCCAACTTGCACCACCAGTCCAAAATCACAAAGTTTCCGCGGAATTGGTCCCTTAACAACTTGAAATGACTCTTTTATCCTTTTCATTTGTTTTTTGCATTTTTTTCATACCATTTTAAATACTTTATTAAAATAAAAATAAAAAGAAAAGAATTAGGCCTATCCACCCTACCCCATCAGTGCCCCCATATATCTCTCTCTCTCTCTCTCTCTCTCTCTCATTTTCATCCTTCTAGTCTCTAACACATATCTATTAATCGCCTCGTTTTTTTTATCTTCATCCCGATTGGTCCCTTTGCGATAATGATGATTTTTTATTTCGAAATCTACGAAGAATACGAAGGATGTAGATGTAATTTTTGTCCCTGGTAAATCCTACAATCTACCATGGTTTCTTTTCAAGAATCTCCCAAATCATCGTCTTCTACGTCTTCTGATTAACGTCATTTCTCAGCGTATAGTAGCGATCGGGAGAATTGCATCGATTAGCGTGCTTATCAGAGGATTCGAATGAGAGTGACCTGAATCAGGAGTAGAAACTGGAATTTGAGCCTTGCGTCGGGTTTTTACAATGAGATAGTTTTGCTGAGAAACAGATAGAAAGCTTGAGAGATAATGACTTTTTATAATTTCTTCACCATTGACCATTGTCATCTTACCTCCTACATGCCGTTCTTCACTATCATCATCGCTAAACATACTCTCTGATGGATATATTGAGGCAAATGAAGAAAAGCTTGAGACATTGGGACGAGCCTTGATTTCTGACCTGTTCTTAAGGTCCCTAATTTCATTGATGGTGGTGGTCTGGAAGTGTTGAATAAATCGTACCCGCAACCATCATCTTGACAAGTCGACAACCTTCACACCGTCGATTTGATAGAGCCAAAACACCACAATGGTCGTTTATACAGATGGCTTGAAAGTTGATCCATACATATGGGTTGTTTTTAGAGATTGATTTGACTGATCGTTCATACAGATGGGGTTTTTGAGAGATTGATTCTCTATGTGTGTGGGTTTTGACGGAGAGATCAAGAGATGTGTATATGTGTGTTATGGCGTGTTGGTTCAGGGAGAGATAGAGAGAGGGAGGGAGAGAGAGAGAGAGAGAGAAGTCAAAGAGAGAGAAGGGGATAGTGTTGGCTGATTTCCTTTTTTTTTTCTTATTTTTAAATTAAAACAATGTTAAAGTAAATATAAAAAAAATGGAAAAAATAAATTAAAAGGGCAAAATCGTCCTTTTAGTTTTTTTAAGGACCAAAACTGCAAAATATTTTTAATTTTGGGACCAAAATCACGGAAAATCCTTTATTTTGGACCTTTTATGCAAGTCGGAAACTTTTTGGACCATATCCACAGTTTTTGTGAAACCACAAAGACCAATTTTGCAGTTTTGTCAAAATTTTATAAAATGTGTTTGGTTGAAATTGGTGGAGTTTTTATTTTCCATTTTATAAAGTTGCAAAACTTTGAAAAACTATAA